ATGCCCCTCCTTGGAGAGTGCCACCCCCAAAACCTGTTCAGCAGTCCCAAAATGGGCTTGCTGTGGGAGAACAGGATCCTGGGCTGAAGGGACACACTCAGGGTTCCTACTGGAAGAAGGCACAGAAAGCCCCCTGGAGTTGAAATATTCTTACTGTATGAAGCTCTGTAATCCTGCATGGGCAGGGGCACCTCCCACCAGCCCAGGCTGCTCCAAGCCCCATCCAACCTGCCCTTCAACACCCCCAGGGATGGGGCAGCCACAGCTTCCCTGGGCAACCTGGGCCAGGGTCTCACCACCCTCACAGGGAAATAAAAGAAGTGGGAAATCAGGAATGCAGTTTTCTGTGTGCCCTCTGTGTCTCATCACAGGCATTAGGCTGGAGTCCTCTCAGACACTCTCTCATTTCACCTTCCTTTGGTGCCTTTCCTCTGGATAATGCAACCTGCAAACAAATTCCTCTCCGTGAAGATTTCCATGAAAAACTTTGTCATTTGTCAAGCTCAATCTGAATACAAAAATAGGTCTTAATATTCCCCCTCCCTGATACTTTTTGCCAGTGACTGTGGGTAAATATCACCCGACACCTGACAGCTCCACTTTACAGTGACCTCTCTTCCCCACTTTCTGTTTCCCAGGCTGCCTCTGAAAGCTGGAAATACTTGGAAATTAGTAGAAAAGACACTACAGACACTCTCTGTGTGTGTTACTCTAAATGTACATTGATTTTGTAATGCACGACTGAGTCATGCTCCATGATTAAGGCTCTATGGCTCTCAAGGCACATGTAATAAGTTATATATTTTTATTCCAGTTCCAGGAAAAGTGATAATGAGACTGTAGGAAGGAAAAACCAAACCAAAACAAACAAAAAACTTCCTGCTAGTATTTTAGCATGGCTCAGTAATGGGGAGTAATCCTTTTCATCTTCCTGTGATCTTCCTCCTTTCTTGAACAATGTGCAAAGCAGCGGCTCCACTATTTATCATATAGGAGTATTTTTGTTAAATGCAAGTGAAAATTATTATTTCTTGAAGGTATCCTGCCTGGACAAAGTGTGCTTAGGGAGACCCCAGTGCTTATTTGAAGAAAACCCTGCTCATTGAGGGAAACAGCAGGCCAAACTGAGAAAAGAGGGGGAAAAGATTGTTTAAGGAGCAGTTCTCAGCCCTCATTC